ATTTCTCTCTCTCTATATATATATATATATTAGTGGTGTTTCAGTTTAAGCACAGAAAAATGTGGATTTGGGGTTACTTTTTTTTAACCAAAAATTGGGGATTGTTTTGAATTGGAGAAAACCCGGATCCCTGACTCCTGTTAGTGCCACGATTCCTCTTTTATTTCATCTCCCCCTTTTTGTGGGGTTGTGTTAGCCAGGGCATGGCTAGATAAAAAGCAAGCTATCATCCTACTAAGCAGCGCTGGGATGATTATACAGAATTGACCCCTATTTATTTAACCTGTAGCACCGGTACGGCCTGTAATGGAGAGGATATTAGGAATGAGAGCGCAGACTTAACTATCAGATACAAAACGGGGTTGACCTGGCGTGAAGGCTGCTTTAGGTCTGGGAGAGGAGCGTGTTTAAACGCACACTTTAAACCCCACGCTGTCAACCCCACGCTGTCGGCATGGAAGCGAAAGGGTTAAAGGAGTGTCGCTATTCAATCCAGTCTCAGATGAAAGTGCACGTGTAAAATATCCCATTGCCATGTATTTATCATCCCTTAACTGGTCCTTTCCAGGCTGTTGGCTGGCACGGTAGCTTTTTCTGTGGGAATCGCTTTGCTTTTAAATACTATAGGCTTTAAAGCAGAGATTAGTGGTTCCCTGAGGTTTCTAGTTTCTCTTGACTTACTTTTCTCTGTGGGCTGCTGCTTGCATAATGCCCCTTATCCAACAGAGGTGTGGAGATGACTCTCTTGTTCTGGATGTATTAGCTAGGACCTGGAGCCTTCTTTTTTTTTTTGTCTGCTGTTGTTTACTTGCAGTAAACTTTGCAAAGTGCCGAGCCGTCCGGCCAGGCCGCTTTTACAAAGCCCCTATCCAGCATGTGGAGCAGGAGAGAGCAACTTGTAACTAAATGTCCTTTATCCCTTTGTAATTCCATATATATTCAATATTTAATTCATATACATTGTGTGTGTGTGTGTGTGTATATGCATATACATATATATACATATATATTTATACACACACACACACACACACACACACACAACCTGAGGATTTAATATCAAGCCGCCTTTCGGCTGGAGCAACCCGAAAAGACCGTGACAACGTCCCGTAGATGCTCATGCTCGGTAATCTAATGGGGTAGAGCAGATCCTGTCAGGTGTAGCGAGGGACCTACTTCAGTTGTGGCGAGACTCAGGTATTTTTGCGGCCTGCCCACAGCATAAAGAGCAAATTTCGTGGCTATTTCCCGGATGTGCTTTGCTGGCCCCGCCCCTCCGTGCTGATTGGTGCGGGAGGAGGGACCAGGGTGGCCGCCGCATTGATTACATGGACAATCCCGGATTTCACAGTTTCCACAAAATCCCGAATTAGGTAGATCCCCAGCTATGGCCAAGATTGCCAACTATTTACTCTTTTAATATTCAAGTGAATGGACAGCAGGAGCCGGCAGGCGTCATCGGGGCAGCAACGCGGATACCAGTTTACAATGACCACAAAGAGTCAACCCAAGCTCCGCTGCAGGATTGCCGATATCGGGATTTTATTATAACTCGTGGGAGAGTTGACATTTTACATAAAGTCCCAGCTCCCGGTGGCGCGCAGCTATGTGACAGTCTCAGCTTGCAGTTAAAGCAATCGTTCTAACCCACGTGCTAGAAAAAAACCCAGCTTGTAAGGACGACCAAGTATTCCCTAAAGCAGGGACTCTCAGCTGGGTGCCACGAGATCCTTTTAAGAGTGCCATGCAATATTAGCCTGGTTTTGTGTGTGCAAACATCTACATAGGATTCACAAGATAAACCCAGAGTTTTCCAGTGTGAATCCAGAGTGTCAAAACCATCTGCCCCGCTGTGGCTATTCTGAGATCTTTGCGGCGCAAGCTTTGCTCCAGTCATTTTCTGTAATAATAATCAAAAAGAGTGAAATTAGTTACAGACAAGTTACAAAGGGGTGACTTGAATTTGCTCTGAAGGCTTAAAAATTAGAAGGCAAAGAAAACTTACCCTAAATCATTGCTTTATTTTTTTTTTTGTAATCTCATGACTTTAAGCCAAATGTACAATTATGGGTGACCCGACTCGTGAGTTTTGCAGTGGTGTTGACGTAGCTGTGATGGTCCAGGGGTATGAGAGAAGCCAGGTCCAGGATTCAGGATTGGAAATACTATAAAAAAAAAAAGACTGCTTGAAGTGCAAAATCTTGGCATCCAACACATACTTGGGTCCATCAGAAGATAGTCCCTTGTCCTCATCACAGAATCACAGACAACGAGGGCTGGAAGGGAGCTCAGAAGGTCACATCTAGTGCAACCCCTGCTCCAAGCAGGACCAGCCCCAACTTCATCATCCCAGACGAGGCTTTGTCTAGACAGGTGTTTAAGACCCGTCTAGACAAACCCTCGGCTGGGATGATGCAGTCGGGGATGGTCCTGCTTGGAGCAGGGGTTGGACCAGATGTCACCCCCTGGGGTCCCTTCAACCCTCATTGTCTCTGACTCCATGATAAGGGTTGTGGGGTGAGGGACCATCTTCTGGTGGAGCGCTAGGTACACCGCTGGAAGTGATAAGAGACAAGCTTTTCAGCTCCGAGCAGTGATTTTTCTTGTCTTCTTTTTTTTGGATAGTCAGTATTTGCGATCCTCAAAACTGAATGCAAAAAACACCTCCCCCAAAACAAAATCACAGCCTCGCCTCCCAGATTATTTCTCAAACTTCACAATATTTTGTCTGCTTCTTAGACCAGGTCTCAGGGGCCCTGCAATAATGCCCCTGTGATTCACGGTAGAGAAGAAGCATTGCTAGAGCTGAGGGTGGAAGCCCAGTTGCCATCTCCACTACAGAGCCGCTGCTAAGCAAGGACGTGCACGGGGCTGGGAATTGAACCTTTATATTTCCTCTTCCAAACTCCCGGCGTTGGAAGACCCCTGTCTCAGCGCTACAGGATATGACGGCTTTCCGTACATCAGGGAGCCAACTGCTCACATGTGCTATAGTAACCTCTGCTGTTACTACATTTGCTAATAACTTGTTCACGGCCAGTTTTCTTCAGTTATATCTGGCACGTGTGTTTCCACAGAGATTTCCAAGAAAAACCCGACAGGATCCTGACAAGCTACTTTGAGAGGGGAGGATCCGGCATTAACAGTGAGGACCTTTGTAGAAACGCTCTGTAGCTCCAAGTGACTTGGATGAATTTTCTTATTTCCTTGTTTTCTGATCGAATTGACTCTTGCTAAGCAAAACTTCGGCGGGAGGGGATAAAAATTGGGCTTGTCCTGAGACTGGGCCCCACCCTGCACTTCTGTTTTCCCAGCGAAAGAGTGATGGAGAGGCAGGCTGGGACACTGCAGATACTACGGGCATGTCTACACGTGCATTTAGGCACAGCTAAATTCAATGTGCCTTAGCTTCGTGCGCATGAAGGTGCCTACACATGCATGCGTTAAAGCTCATTAACGCCATGTGCGCGGACTGACACGGGACTAAAGTTACTTCCAAGTCAGTCCATTCACAGCGTTAACGGGCCATAACGCATCTACACATGCGTTAATGCTCTTTAGCTATTTGCATCTCAAATTCGCTACCTGCTTTTGCAGGTATCAAATTGAGGTGTGAATAGCCTAAAATCACCATTTTAAGGTGCCTTAAGGGTGTGCACATGTAGACGCATGCTCTTAATGCACTTTAAATCATTAAAAGTGATTAAAATCATTATTAAAGTGCCTTAAATCGGCATGTGTAGACGCGCCCTGTGATGCCTTAAGCTAGTGAAACTGGGGTCACAGATCCTGCTCTACAAGTTGCTCTTCAGTTGATCACTTCATGAAAAAGTGCTACCAGCGTGTTTATTTGCACTGGCTGTAATAGGGGCTGCCTGCCCGGCACACAGGAATCACACAACACGTGCCCTCTCCCTTTCCGTTGGTGAGTCCTCCATCGTGTCTTGTTAATTAGAGCGTGTTTAGGGCGTTATGTGTGTACGTTGCTACGGCTCTTTGGTTACCAAGAAAGCAAGGTAGATTTGCATCTTATCAGTTACCCAAAGTAGATGCATATTGAACTCTATATCCGTATGGGTCTTTATATGGCTATAGAGATCGATGCTGATATGGATACATAGGTATATTTATATCTAGCACAGGCTTTCGTGAGCTGAAGCTCACTTCATGAGATGCTAAGAGAGGACGTGTAGAAAGCAGGGTATAGGCAGGTGAGAGAAATTTGAATACTTCCACCACTAACTATTATGTCTCTTTGGATACGACCAACTCGTCACTTGACTTCCGAGCCAGGCAGACCTTGAAGGTCCCTGCTTCACGGTGAATCGAGGTTATGGAGGCGAGTGGCTCAGGGCAGGAGACAGATGAGTGTTGGCCCAGTGGATGGAAAGACAAGGTCAAATCTTGGAAATGGGATGGAGAAGCCATGTGGGGCAAGGTGGATGTAGGGGTTGCGGGGGCCCTGGGTGAGACAGGGAAGATGGTAGCGAGGATAGAGAATGACAGGAGAGGAGGAGATTTGGGAGAAGGCCAGAAACTTCTTTTTGAGCCAAGGTGAAGGGTTGGCAAGTCGTCCGGGAGAAGGCGGCAGCAGGCTGAGAGGCCGGGGTGTGAGGCCTGGGGTCGGGTCTGGTCCATGCTGCAGAGCTTTGCTGACATAGCTACGTCAGGCAGGGGTGCAAACATCGTGCCCCTCCCGCGTGTGAGAGGGAGATCTGCGGGGCTTTGATGTAGGGTGGAAGATGACCCCTCTCCCTGGGAGGGTGCAGAGCTCGGTCTGGGCCCCCACGGATGGGGGCAATAGCCACCCTCCCCGGGAGATGTTGGTGCCATGCCCAGAGGATGGCATAGGTGAAGGCAGGGTGTCCAGAAGGAAGAGATCAGCAGAGAAGGGACATGGGACATGGGTGGGGGCATTAGTGGGTACTCAGGGGGCAAGTTGCCATTGGGATGATCCAGGATGGACCAGGCAGAGAGGGGCCAGAAAGCAGCGGGCAAAGATGATGTATTCGGTGAGTTTATGGGGGGAAGGAAGGAGGAGGATGGCCGGAGGTGGGGGGACAAGGGGGTCCCTGCTCAAGGATGCGGAGCATGAGACTGGGCTTGTTGGAGCAGAAGAGCATGAGAGGCCAAGGAGGGAAGTAGGGGTGAAGGGACTGGGCTGAGGGGTCACGAGAGGATAAAGCAGACAGGGGAGCAGGGGCAACCAGCAAAGCCCAGGAGCTTTATCTCCTCCGCATTTCTATAGCGGGAGATGTAATGGGTGCCGGCTTCCCTTGGTAAAGCCGCAGCTCGTTGCATCGGCGAAGGGAAGGATCGGTTGTGCCGGGGGCGAGGATGCAAGCGCTGTCTGCAAAAGGCGGCTTGGCACAGGCTTCGGGGCCCGGTGAGGTTACAGGACATGCTGTATGCTCTGTCCAGGAAACCCTTTCCAGAGCCCTTGGCAAGCCGCGCTGCCTGTTTGCAAAGCGCAACGAAAACACGGACCATCAAAGGCTCGTGCTCCTCACCCGCCCCCCGTCCAAGCGGGAGACGCGTCCTGCTCCCTCGGCACAGCAGCTCCGCTCAAAATTTCACAAGCCCCTTCTATGTGGGGCGGGATGGGAGAAGCCCCGTCTGCAAACAGGAATCGAGCTGCTGCCTGTTTGCTCGGCCCCCGTTTGCATGAGGAGAGGCGTCGAGGCAGGCAGGACAGCTGGGGAGGAGGAAACGGGTGCAGATGTGCGAGTCTGGCCGGATGGCGGGGCAGCAGATCGGCTCGGGGATGCCCAAAGCAAAGCATGCAGCAGCCACTGAGGCCGGTGCTCAGCACAGAGCGGAGAGCTGGTTCCCTTGCAGCCGCTGATGGGACGGTGGCATTTCCTTTCCCCTCACCCAGCGGGGTGGGGTCTGTGTCAGGAAAGGAGCTTTTGCCTGAAAAGCTCATCCCCCGCCCCCAGTTTCAGACAAGCCAATCTTTATTTGGAGTCCACGTTCTGAACAGGTCTGAAGGCCAGCCCCTGTTTCATTTCGGCTTCATTTCATGCCAAGTCTTTTGGTTTAGCACCCCATCATGACGTTTTCAATCAAAGCCAGATTAGGTGTTTTGCTTCGACAGGAGAGATCCTGACATTTGGCGTCGTTCTAGCCTCCCTGCCCCCGAAAGGACCCCAAACCCCAGAAACAAAACACTTCAAGGGGATCAGAAATGAGCACTTAAGTTCTGATATATATATATATATATAT